TCGGAGGCATCTCCAAATATGCGAGAAAGCTTAAGCGTTTCACTTCTCTCTGTCCAACCACAGCAGAAATTTTGGCATGCAAGATTCACAGGCCAGTGTTTGGCCTGCCACAATATATGGATCGAGATGCACCGGGCAGCGTGATGAGATTGGATCTAAAAGAAGCAGCCTCAAACAATAAAGGCTTCTTCCAAATGGCGCAGCGGCAAGCCTGCTCGTCGTCGATCGCAAGCCTGGAAAGTATAAACGAGCTTTATGAACGAAACACCACCTGCAGCTGTTCATGATGCGTCCGCGGGGATCTACTTAACTCGACGAGTAGCATGGCAAGCATGTTCTAAGAAACAAAGCGAGTTGGCCTACCCCGTGCATCGCACGGAAGCAAAGGACGTGCAAACATGTGTCTGAATCTTGACCCTCCTGTTCACGGTCATGATCCTATGTCGTTGGTGGTGATTGGTGGTGCCTTACCGGATCCCTGCTCCATTGCTGCCGCTGCATGCATCGCAGGCCTCTGCGGCTTCATGTTGCAGAGAAGCTCTGCATGGCTGGTGTCTTTGATCTCGGCAGTCACAGGCGAGGGTAAGTTGGGTGCGGAACTTTCAGTGAGTGCGAGAATTGAAACTCGTCCACTGGATGCAGAAGCAAGGCTGGAGTGAGTGATGGACATTACTGGAACGACCCGACTCTCTGGACAATGCGTTTCGAACTCTCTTGCAGTTGCATGGTGGGGCTGGGAGCATCTTCAAAACCTTCACCGAACCTTGACTTCCCTCGGGAGTCGAAGCGCTGTCCGTTCTTGCTTAGATGCCTACAGCTGCATCGTAGCACTCATCTGCAGCAAGATTCGTATAGCCCTAAATATTAGTGTGCCGAAACCAAGCCGACACAAATGGTGCATTCAAAGAACAGCTGGCTTCCAAGATGCCCGTAAGACCGGCTCCTCGGAGGCACTGCCGGGGTGATGCGCATCGCCATTGAGGACGGGGTACGGGTCCTGTTGGGGAGAGCACTCTTTGCTTTGGAGAAGCTTTTGAAACCTTTCCAAGCAGCTTCTACCTCCACGACCCCCTTACAAAGGCTCTCGCCTCTTTAGTCATGGGGTAGTTAACAGTGAACCCCACTGCGGAGTTCTGGTTCCATGCTGTGCCCAAGATGCTGGTTTGGGCCTGGGGAAGACGTGCGACCTGATCTTGCAGTGTAGATCTGTCTGACCGACTTCGTTCTCCTGCTGTCGATCCAACTTCCACGCTTCGGCTTTTAAACCGCCAGACCCCTCTTTAGGTGTGTTTTCGGGCGTGAATTTATCCGCTGCCCGCAGACATCAACAATTAAGCCCTCAGTCAGTCGGTCGTAAACCAGGCAAGCACTACCTTTTGCCCAAATCTCATCACTTCACTGCGCCTTGGTTCTCACATACCGCAAACCCATGTTGAACACACATGCCACCCCCCAGAAACCTCGTAGCGGGCAGACCGAAGTTCTCGCAGTTCCTGCTCCAGCGAGCGGATCTTCCTGCAGGAGCGGAAGTGTAGCAACGTTGGAGCCATCGGCTCAAAAAACCCTGCGCCCTGCTCTCTTCTGGGCGGGTGGGCCCTGGCGGCCCATTGAGTCTCCGACACCCCTTCTCTTCCTGTCCTGACTCCTTTTTGTGGCCCTATCTGTCCCAAAGAATGACGTGTGTACAACTAAGGCAGAAGCGCCTGCCGATGGAGTCAGGAGTCAGGTGGGCAGCGGGTTGGCTGTCCTCATAGGCCTTGCAGGACAATCGGTAGATCTGCCAACTACTGCGCAGAAGGCTCTGTAGTCTGCAGTCGACAGAATCTCACAACATATGAGTCATAATATGAAGATGCAGCCTATAGATTTGTGCATGCACGTGTACATAATGCACATATACAGAATATATACAAATGGAGACGTATAAATCTACACTTGTATGTATATGTATGTGTATATATACGTACATATATCTGTTCATGCCCAGCTACTTGAATACCTAGCTAGCGAGCCCGCTAGTAGGTAGCCAGCCAGCTGCCTACCTAGCTACCTAACCTACCCCAGGCCAGACCTCAAGCCTGCCAAAGAGATACACCGAAAACTGGCACACCTGGCCAATTCTAGTCCATACTCACAGCAACAAATTACTGCCGTGAGGAAGTTCCATAAGCCGTCCTACGTATTATTCAGCCTGTGAAAACCGTGCAGTGCCCCTCCTGCACTCATTCATGCAAGCTCCCACCCAACAAGTATGCTGCAGTGTATCCCACCCAGTTACCAAGTAGGGTGTTTCACCAATTGCTTTGTTCTAGGGTAGGGAGTTTCGAAGCAAGCAACTTTAAGTGGTTGTGCAGCGGTTTTTAGTCTCGTGTCTCGTGCGGCCTGTTTGACACAACATGTAGAGGAAGTACGAACATAGTCGATCACAGGACGTGTATCATAGACTGCACATAATATGCTGACATCCTGTCTTTTCGCTAGGGAGGGCTCCGCCGCTGATCTACCACAGACGCTGTATACTTCCGGTTCCAGATTATATCTTGTCATGCTGCTTCCGGAGCGGTTGTACAGCCAGTATGTACACCTACATGCATAGATAGATAGACAGAGCGACAAATAAACAGACAGATAGATGGATGGATGGGTAGACAGATCGATGGAGAGAGAGAGAGAGAGAGACAGAGCGAGAGCGAGCGAGCGAGCGAGCGAGAGAGAGCGAGAGAGCGAGAGAGGGAGAGGGACAAATACTGAGATAGACACAAGCACACAGGCACACACTCTCTCTTCCTCTCTAGATGTACAGTATGTGTCAGTGTATGTACAGGTATATATATATGTATGTATGTATGTATGTATGTATGTATGTATGTATGTATGTATGTATGTATGTATGTATGTAGATATATATATATATATAATGTTATAAAGAGAGAGAGAGAGAGAGAGAGAGGGAGAGAGAGACCGAGCGAGAGATGGAATATAAACGAACAACAGGCCGACACAAAAGCCGACATCTCCCTTGGGCCATTCCTGGAGCATCTGCTTCCGGAAAGCGCTCCAGGAAGCATCCTCGGCTCAAGGTGGCCCAGGAAGCACAGAACCATCAGAGGATGCTAAACTTCCTCAAGCCCGGGTTTGTCAGCGCCCTCAGAAAAGATTCCAGAACACCTCAATTGTGATATTCTCACGCTTCTGTGGTTTCAACACTGCGGGGTCGAGAGGCCTTCAGGCGACAGCGCATACAACAGGTAACGAGATACGGACAAGAGCAAGCCTGAGAGGTCCGAGTAGGTCCGCGATTCAGCGCCACGCGCTGCATCTCCGAGTCATCACGGTCGTGGAACTCCAACATCCCTTGCACGTGAGAACTGCTGCCCAAGATGCGAGAAACTCGGCAAACGCCGACTGGCAGTGAGCCGCCATGGGCGCTTGAGCTTGGCCTACCGGCAGCCCTTCTTGTGGTGGTTTGAGGAGTCCGAACATCTGCGCGCCGCTCATGTTCACTCCATTCTTGAATTTGTTCCGCACATGCGGCAGCGGAGCAAACCTAAAAACATGTTGCTTGCTTCGCTCACTTCATGTGGATTGCAACCGGAAGCTGCTTCTCTAAGCCGCAGATTCTGATGCACGGGCAACTGAATCTAAACCTAGGCCGTGTCTTCATCCATCAACTTGGGCCGGGTGTGCCAACCATGGTAGGCTCAGGCCTTTGGGAGACTTGAACCCCCGACGCACTGCATCGGCTTCTGTGCTTCAGCTTGTTCCCGTTGCGGATGTGTACGGCGCATGGCAGCAACAAACACAGCTCCATAAGGTTGGTTTCGGGTGGGTGAGGACATCTCCTGGAGGGCTCATGATCCTGTACTTCCATGAGGAAGGGGTCAGTGCCAGGACTCCCCACACTCGGCAGCGCTAGTTCGCGCGGAACCTATGCCGAACATGCCTGCTTGATGCGTAACAAATAGGTTCTGAGATTCTGCACAGTAGAAGGAGATGTTCAACAGTCTTTGGAACATCATGGCCTACATGTTTGGAGGACGTATTGGCACTGAGGACTGGAATCCACGAGCGACTGTGATTTCCCGTCTCCGCATGCTCTTGCCACAGCGCTGCAGCAAGGCCCAGCTGTCGCCAATCCAACGGACGAGTGGCTGAACAGTTGTGAAGAACTGATGGAAAGGACACTTCTTACATGTTCTCGCGTCTTCAGCGGTGAAGTGGAGGCTAGTGCTCGCAAGGCTAAGACTAAATTGCTGACATGCAAACGTGCCGTTGCCTCCACTTCAAGCTACAACGCTCAGATGGGCTCGGTGCAGCTTCCAGACTGCTGCTCCGGGTCCCGTCTGCGATTTCTTGATTCAGCGCTTGCACTGCAGGGCAAAGAGGCACTTAGGACAAGGAAGAGCCCCTTTTTGAAGAAAGTGCGGCGAAAACTGTGGCAAATTTTGCCACTCGACCGAGGCCACAAAGCGACACACGGTGTCCACAGATAGCAGCACGTCGCGCTTGAATTTGATCAACCGCTGACGCAAAGAGCCACCGCAACACCGATGCAAACTCTTGCAGTGCTTTATCCAAGACGGAGGCTCTCTGGCGGCGCTGGGAAGTACCTCCCCTCCCTGGTGAGCTGCGTTCCGGTCAGACAGTACATTGTGGCAACAAGCTCTGCAATTGGAGTTCTAGGTCCCGAGCGCTGCTTGAGATCTGCATGGGGATTGGATGAGGGGCCAGGGTGCATAGATGTGCAGTCCGGGAGGATCTGAAAATCTTGGCCACACCCCTCCAAGGCTTTCAGCGGAGCGATTGACGGCAAACTTCTGCGCGTCTGCGAAGCCGCTTGCACAAAGCCCGCTCGAGCTCACACCACATGTACCGAACATAGTCATGGCATAGCGGCACAGGAAAATAAGCAAAACCTGCAACTGAAGTGGGCTTGCGCAAGACAGCGGAAAAGGCCTGGGCTGTCCGCCCTGTTTCGGGCAATCCAACCCGTCAAAGAGTCAAACATTTGCGACACGCGGTCTTGCCCTTTGGGAAGACTGCGACTTGGATGGGGGCCTAGAGCATGTCGTGCAGCGGTGCAACTCTGCTCGAAGCTCCTGCTGGCGGTTTTTTTAGCAGCGGGTTCACAGGCAATGGTGGCTCAGAGACCAAGTACACCGGCCCACCCAGGGCCCCACCACCAGCATTCTCTTTGGGATCTCTGGGGCTGGCGTATTTATACCTCTACCCATCCTTGACGGCCGCCACGGAACTGAATCTTCCGATAAGTGCAATTGGAACACTGACCGAGCACCAGAGCCCTGAGACTGCCCTGAACTCAACAAGGCCTACTTTGAACAGGTCTCTCCAGGAAGCCTTGCGCAGCAGCTCGTTGGCTTGCTTCTGCTCCTCCTTAAACTCCTCAAGCATGGTGGTTGAAGCTGAAATCAGTATTGGCATTCTCGCTTTGAGGCGTCTAATAGGGTCTGGCACCTCGTGAATGGCGGGGCCTGTCCAAATTGGCAAATCTGACATCAATGCTGGAACAACTGGATTGGCACAGCGCTTCCTGCCACGATAATCCGCATGACGGCTGATACTACACTCCAGGGGTGGACTCAAAGCTGGACAACCGAGCACAAAGCAAAGCCTTGACAACGCAGAGTTTGCCCTGCGCTATGACCTTGGGCCTCTTCGATGGATTCGATGGATTGCGGAAAAGGCGGTCCGATTTTGGGAAAGGAAGCCTTCTAGGACCTCGGAATCTAGGATCGTCTGCAAGCACGGCAGATTTGCCGTGTGGATTTTGTTCGTTACATGAAGTGAAGCAACATCGAAGAACCCGCCTGAGAGTCTGTAGATGTACAAGTTCGCTGACAGCCGATCCTGTTGAAGGCTCGAGACACCCCTGAGGTGGCCGACCTCACTAATCCTGAATGCGCCAGGTCCAATGTCTGGAGAAACATCTGAAAGCCGAAATGCACCCCGGATCATCCAAAGCGCCATTCAGCCCTGCAGCCCCTCCACTGCTAAACGCTTACAGAGTCTAGCAAAGCTCGACTTGCATACTGGCGTCCACCAGGATACTCTGCACAGCTTTAGCCGCCAGGAGCGCCGCGACCGTGTCAGATTTGTTGATTTCACCCCGGATCTTCAAGAGGCCCTGAAACAAAGGCTGATATTTCCGCTTGCTTGGGGGCTTAATTAAGGCTTCAGTGTTGACGGGGAGGTCTTGTGGATGCTTCAAGGCTTTTGGCACCACGTGTTGGTATGCTTCGGTTTTATTGCTTGGGGTGCAAGGCTTTTGGGCTTACATTTGGATGTCAGGGTCCTGTAATTTGTCAATTGAGAGATACGTGCGGGAAGCGAAGAACTAGAGGATCCCATCTCGGTACGAAGTTGGCAGACCGCCACATTCGGCTTCTGTGCTGGCCGTCCCCTAACCTGTGAACCCGCGACTTCCTGCGAGCTGGCCTGGACGAGCTCAGTTATGTGGAGCGTACCTCGGCTGCAAGCCTAGCTTGTGCTGGTGCGCCTCTTGCGAACAACAGCCAGACCCAGAGCGGGCTCGGTAAGGCTAGAAAAACCTGGGCCAAGGTGCCGCTACCGTCTGCGTCGATCACCTCCGCAGTGTCATGAAGTGGAATCGTGCCGGCGTGCGGGATGTAATGTGCGCTTCTGCTGTACTCTTTTTCGGTTACTAAAGAAGGATCCGTCACAGTAGGCTTCGGTCAAAGTCGTGTGGGCAACCCATCGCCGACAAAATGCTGCCAAGACCACCCAGCTTCACAATACAAACATCACATGGGAGTTTCCGAAAATACGGGGTACCTTATTCTGGGGTCCTTATAGTAAGGATCCTATTATTTAGGGTACTATATTAGGGTCCCCTATTCTCGGAAACCCCCAAATAACCACACAACTAAAGCCTGGCCAATCAGGAGACTTCCACCTCAAAGAGGTTGGCCCTATCCGGAGGGAGGTCCAACTCGTCCATCAGTTGTTGCACACCTTTGCTCAAGACAACACTCAGGGGTACCGGGGGTACCGTATTTTTAGGGGTCCTTTATGCCTAAGCTCGACATCAAGCCCGAGGCTAAACAGGCGTTCGCCTGACTGCTCTTGATAAGACACCACAAAGATTGCAAGCCTAAGAGATTCAATTTACTGTAGTGGAAGTCTTCATTCAATCACGAACGTTGGAATCTAGAGAAGGCATGTCGGCTTGCATCGGTATGTATTTATGAAGGTATCTCCCAGTGTCTTGTGCGCATCTGTGCATGGGTAATTAATGCATGTTCGTGTACACCTGCTCTGCAACAAAGGCTTTCCACGATTCCGAGAGCAAGGGGGTTGCATGTTCACGCTTGCCCACGCAAAACAGGCGACAGCAACACCCTGATGCATCGCCAAAGTGCCGCGATCTTGGATGACCAATAAGAAGAGCTCTTTCGTTATGGCCTCGGCAGCAGCTTCAAGCTCACTTAAGCTTACTTAGTTGCTCCCCTTCCATCGTACTCGAACCCCCCCACCGACCACACAACTGAGTGCAAAGCGATTCCATCATGCACATCGTCCTGAGGTATCTGAGGCAAAGCCGACGCAGCGGGCTAAGGAGTCCTAGGAAAAGCCCGTGAGGGCCATACCGCATATACACGAAGAGCAAGCAGCCGTCCGCTGCGAAGCAAGCCTCCCTTTGCCTGGATGTTCCTATCAGGGTGGTTTCTCTTGCGCCACCTGACGGACGGCATCATGTTAGTCCGGTGCACCATGATATGCACAGAGAAGCTTGCCACTTGCCTCCAGCCTCGCTCCGAAATCGACCCAGATTAGTATGTGACAAGGCTCGTCGGTGAAGAGGCCGGTGCGAGTTTTCATGTTGAAGCCCGAGTGGCGGCTTGTTTGTGTCGCGGCCTCGAAAGCGACGACTCGGGCTTGGAGCAAGTTCGTATCTATGCGTGTAGTGCCTCGAATCAGGATGGCAGATATTCATAAGAGGTATAAGCATGAAGTTGGCTGACAATGTTCTCCTCTACGACGCTATGACTCTAGCCCGTCTGCTCCCTCCATAGTCTGGAACGCTTGTTTTCCGGGATTGGTGGAGCCCGAGAGCTGTTGCACAGCAAGCAATTATCAAGTGCGAAAATGCTACCTTCAGTGATACGAGCAATGCTTTTGACAGGTACGAGATATAAAGAGAGCCTTAGTGTTTACCGTCTGAGACCGGGCACGCCAAATCATCAATCAACATCCTAAACCCTGGTATCAGAACCCAAACTGCGGCCGTTCTGTTAACGAAATGTCCGACATCCATAAGCTCGATATGGTCAGCCAGGATACTGCATCCTCCTTCTCGAGCTCCTGTAAGGAGAACCCTCCGATCGGTTCCGTTCACATAAAGATCATCGTACATGCACATTTATATTCAGACATTCATACGGGCACAAATACATACATTTTCCTCATGTGTATGTCTGTCTGTGTTTGTCTGTCTGACAGGGTGTATGTATGTTTGCGCTTGGTTAGAATGCCAAACAGTGGATAGCAATAGGCTGAAGTGTTGCGGAAGTAGTAGGATGCATTCCAAATCCTGTTCTGCATGCCTGGGCGAGCAGTCGGTTCCGTGCGGCTACAGGTAGCTTGTCCTACGAATCCGTCGGCTTACTTTCCCGGTGGTGAAGCCTGGGCTGCACTGCTTGCAGGGCTTTCTGTATAAGTCCAACATGAACCGGGGCCTTTGAGAAGCCGGCCTGCTCTCTGCTTCAACCGTGCGAGAGCTTCGGCTTCAGGCAACAAATCGGGTCCTGGAAAAGCCTGTAGGCTGCAGCAAACTTCTTCAGCAACTCGCCTCATTGGTGTGCTTTGAACTTGAGTCCCATTCCGTCTCGATCAAGTTGAATCATGAAGGATTGCCCACTTGGACCCTCGTGCTACAATGTTGGCTGTCACGAGCAGGATCCAAGACTATGAAGCACAGAATGAACTTTTGCTAGACAAGCTTGCACATGCGCATACGGCGTACAATGGTATATGCGGTATCCGTGCACGTCGCAGTTCGTCCACTTAACCTTCTTGACCGTCCAGCTAGGATCCAAATCCATGGTTGAAAAGCATCAGCCCGGACGCCAGCTTTCCAGACACTGCGCACAAGACATCCAAAACGTCAAAATCTTGAAGATTGGAATCATCATGTCCAGACGTGTCTTCAAACAGTTCTTGGTATTTGCAAGCTATGGGAAAGGCCCTGCATGGAATTTGGAAGTTTGGTTCCAACATGTTGCAACCCACCGCTACATACATTGTCAGAATACTCGGGGCACTCCGACCTACCGACGTTGAACCAAAACTGAAGCTACACGCGACGCACTGTTTTTGTCGTGTGGTATAAGCGCTGTAGCACGCCGTTGATCGTGCGGCGGGCCGGCACATCTGCCCTGATCTGCTGATTGCAGGCCGGCGTCTGGACCGGCCGTACCGGCGCAAGGATACTCAAGAGGACCTGTTCCTGGACGCCGTGCTGAAGCAGCTCGGCGAACCTACCCCGCACCGCCGGAGCGTTGGTGACACCGAGGCGAGCGAATGTCGCCAGGTGTGCCGTTCCACCGGAGGTGGTCACCACCTTCAGGAAGTCACTGAAGGTTTGTTGGGTTCCCGGCGCACAACGCGCAAGAGCCATGTCCTCGACGAGTCGTCGTCGTTTCCTCGAGCCAGGGCCAAACCAGCTGCGGACAGGGCCAAGGCAGCGGCGACGACCGACGAAGAGAGAGAGAGAGAGCAACCGGCGACGACACAGCACGCGACCGGCGAGGCTTTGGAGCTAAGGGTCTTTTCCCGGCGCTCGGCGGGCTCAAAGCAGAATGGCGCCTCTGATCGAGCCGACTTGGCGTCGGCCCGATGGCAGGCGACAGTGACGCGCCGTGTGCCTAATCCCACGGCGCCTTCAGCCCGGCGCATACGGCGCAGGCCGTGGCCGACGATCAGCGGGCGGAGACATCTCCCGGCGCCGGGGTAGTCTCGCGGCGATGTCCTGGACGTACTGCCGACGTACAAGGCTGGCAGCACCAGCCAGCGATGCGCAGCTCCTTCTTCTGCTGCTCCCATGGGATGCCCGCCGGGCTTCGGCATGCTTGCCGGCCTCACTGCGCCGGGGTCAATCTAAACCCTAAACCATAAACCACCCGGCGTGGATGGTGCCGTCGATAGTGGTCCATGGATCGGCTCTGACGCTGTCCAAGGCACCGGTCCAGCCTGCAGCGGCGTCATGTTCCTCATGGGAGAGCTTCCCCACAAGACGCCGTCACTCCCCCTTGTAAATGCGGCGTGGCCGTCGGGTCGAAGTTGGGGTCGCCGTTGTTGGCGTTCTGCATGCCGAGGAGGATCGACGCCGCCTGGTTGATGACCTCATCGGAGTTGTTGCCTCCCGTGCTCGTCGGCGGTCTCGAGGTCGGCGGCGACGCTGCGGCGTGACTGGGGGTTCACAGCGCCTTGCGGCGGAAGCCGATGTCTCCCCCCGTGCTCGTCGGTGACCACCCGGACAGCCGCCGTTGACCGGCCGACACCGCCATGGACTCGGCGTTCATCCTGCCAAGGTTCGAGGTTGCAGCGGAGGATCTCGCTCATGGTCTCCGGCGCGTGGTTCAAGGTGCCCGAGATGTGGTAATCCGGCGTCCGTGGACGACGTCGGCGGGTTCCACTGCACCTGGCCCGCCCACGACGAGGGTGGGCTCCCAAATCGGCACCCGTGCGCTGCACCGGCGTCTTCTGCGGCGTGCCACCCTGATCTTCCGCCGTGGTGGCCCTCGTCGGGAAGAGCTCACCCAAGTAGTTCGCGATGGTCGTCGTCGAAGGCGGCGAGGCCGGGCCAACCATCATCATGACCTCCACGAACTCTATCATCGCCATGCGATCTTCCATGCCCATCTCGGCGGCCAGCTCCGCCCATGCCCGGTACCCGCCGCGGCGCCCCACACGCAGGACCTCCCTCATCCCGGCGACGGCGATCGCCGATGGTGCCTTGGGTTCGGCTTTTATCGGGATCTCGGCGTGAGCGACGCCTGTTCCAGACATGGCGTCGTGGAATGAAGAGCTAGAGAGAAAAGCTTAACGGCGGTTTGGGCCAGAGTGCTATCGGCGTTCGCCGTTACCGAGTGTTACTGCGCACACACGTGTGCTACACCACACCGAGCTTCCCGAAATGAGGTACTGTACTTTGCCGTCAAGACCTGTGCTGTCTTGTTTGCTCATCTGGCCATCTGTTGCACCTGTTTCGGTCAAGATCGGCTTGTTCGAGCTCGTTGAAAGCACACATAGAACACTAACTAAGCAACATCCCAGGGACGTGTGGTGCGGGCAATGCGGATGGACTCGCGTGCATATTGCTCAGCAGTGGTCGCCTCCGTTTCCTCGGGCGAATCATTGAGAGGTCGTCGTATGCAAGATGCTCAACCTCTGAAGCTCTGGAGATCACTGAGGATGGGTCACAGACTGAGCAACCGCCCGGGCAACATCATGCTGGCTGTTCTAGGATTCTAGGAGTTCGATGGACATTCCCCCACTCAACTTAGCACGTCGATGCCCGTCTAAAAATCATATCCAGGATGAAGCATAATCTGGCTCCCAAGGTGTGCCATCTCCGAGTGTCTTTGGCCGCCTTCATCGTGATCTCCACGTACACCTCGAGTTTTTTGGAAAGTCACGTGTGCAACGGTAGTGCAGGCCTAGCGGTCCCTTGAGATTTCAAGCTACATCAGAAGTGGGCAACAGGCAACAGGTCGGGCACTGTATGAATGTTTAGAACGTCTACTTCCACTTGCAGTACCAGTACCAGTTGTCATATCTCCTGGAGATGTCGTATTCATGCAATCACCTCCGTTTTTTGTGAGTTCTCTCCAAATACTGCGACGACGAGCTACTCCGACCACAGCGCCGACAACTAGACATATCTCTAGGAAGACGACGACTACTACACAACTGCGACTGGTGTTGATGTGATCTGTCTTCAGGTTTGGCTGCCGCACTTTTGTTTGCATTGCTCCTATGCATGTTGCTGCTGTCCATCCGATCTTGCAGTTTGCTTTGTCAGCTGGGTGGCTAGGCAAACGGGGCCGAAACTTCAACATGAATCACTTGAGTCTGAGATCGATATGTCCGAACCAAGGTGTCCGTTTGCATGCTATCCTTGCTACATTCTGTAGGAGCAGCATTCATGTGACACCCTGATGATGTTGCCGGAATGTGAACCGCATAAGCAGTCTAAGAGAGTGCCAAGAGTCAGCCAAGATGACATTGAAAATGCCTCGGCGGCCAATTCTCGACCCTTCCTAGAACTCTTACCGCCTCACGGTCTAGGATTCGGGCTCAGAGCTTACACTAGCACATACTAGCGCCACGGCTGGTCTCTCTCTCTGTTTCGCAAGGATGCAGGCCCAGTCGATAAGTTTTTTCGCTGAAGAACATGAGGCTTCCACTCGGAGTCCGTGCAAGCCTTGGCCTTCTCTGCTTGCTGCCACACCACCCATGGAGACCAGCATATAGCTGATGATATAGCAGGCGACGAACCTGGGAGCATATGGCATTCGCAAGTCTCTGCATCCAATATTCCACACACCTGCTGGGCCGATGAAGAACCCGGGCTGTCTCGCGTTTGCATCAGGGTTTCCACCAAAAGGAAAACTTCAGTTCGTATGCTCGCGCCCAGTAGCACCAAACCGAACTCGTCAGTGAGCAAGAACGTGAGGGGAAAGCCTGCAAGTCGGCCCACAAGGAACGTTGGAATGGAAACAAAGATTGGCTGTTTCGTCGGATCATTGAATGCTGATCAACCGTTTGCTTGCCCGTGGGCCGAAGAGCATCAGGAAGGGAGACGCAGTGAGCTTGCATGTCGAAAATCTTCTACCGAGACATATCGACCAAATCTATCATGTCCCACCCAATATGCCCACCGGGGGCGAAGTGTCATGGATTGCAAGGGCACTATCAAGAGCGGTTGAAGAGTCGTTTGCCGCTTGATTCACATTTCAAGCAGAGACATGCTAGTGAAGAGAGCCAGGCGATCCAGAAGCAGTCGTTCTGAAGGAGACTCCGCAGAGGCGGGTGGGGCAGAGGCTCAAGATAAATGCGCAACATGCATCGGCGCATTCATGTGTCGACTGGAGAGCAGCTCCCAGCAATCTGCTGAAAGCCACTCTTCAAGACATCGTTCAAGTAAAATTCGGCATTGGGCGAGGCACACAGCATTAAAAAGACTGATCAAGCCCTCAGTGGCTTGGTGCATTTCCGACCAAGCAGATTCCCTTAACAGATATTCTCCAGCGACTTGGAAGAATTCTTGTGTCGTCGGTGTGTACAAAGTGCGTCTTCCACGCTCTTGGCGCTGAAATGGCTCAGTCAAACTCTCGAAGAACCCTGCACCACTCGTTGAGCCTTGATCAGTGACGCAATCACCAGTGAAGCAGCGGAAGGCGGTGAACATTGACCTCAGCTGACGTGTGGCTTAGGCCACCGGGCAGCCAAGATGCGTGGAGATAAATCTGACCCATTTCAAATCTCGGTGAGCCTTCCAAACGCCTTTTGGACTTCCCACGTCAGAGCCAAAACTTCCTCAGCCGATGGGTGGTTGGGCTCAACTGTACAAGAAGCATCGGCAAGTTGTAGAAGTACTTGTCCATCTCGAGTCCCGGCACTTCAACACCAGTGATGCCTGCATGGCATGCAGTGCGGTGACTCACGGCCCGACCACGTTTCCGAAAAGGGCCACAGAGCAACCAGCAACTGAACTCAACGCTGCTTCGCTACAATACCGACCAAGCTCGGACCCGGAATGAAGGAATCGCTAGCCGCTTGCACCGCAAACGTGTAGGGCTGGCAGGGTGCCTCCAAAGCTCATAGTGGCAAAGCCTGCTATCCTCAGAAAGGTCCCACGAGCACCAGCAAGCGTGTGACTGTCAACATGCATGTAACACATAAGATTAAACGGCAGTGGTCATGACGATAACGACTACGGTGACACTGACGACGATAACGATGATGGCACAAATGTGGGGGATAGTTGTCAACAGGTGTGCTGTTGGAAGATGTTGCTTTGTGCACAAAAGCTGGGTTCGTAAGTCTCAGTTCACAAAGGTGCGTTTGACCGTGTGTGCGAATGGTCCAAAGCAGCCCCAAGACGAAAGGACCAAGTTGGATTGCCGAGAAAGCCCAACTCAGCTCCAGGCGACTCCTTCCCTTGCCAGCGTCAGCAGCAAACGAAGCTTGGGTTTTTCTACGTTTCGGGCACCGTGGCGATGTGGTTTAGGCCGGGCCCCTCTGGAGCGATCCGAAAGCCTTTTTAGTGGAGATAGTTTACGACTGGTGCGCCCCGCGTTTCGCTCTTCTGGATCGCATGAGGTCAAACCTTGACCAATAATGAGGCAGTCTTTGAAGAGCCAAACCATGATTTAGGGCAAATCGGTTGGCGTGCTGATGCGTACTGGCATCTGGGTGCGTGTGGTTTGCAAACTCCAGTCTTTGTAAAGCAGCGTGTTGAGTCATCAGCGCATTCGTTCGCGCATCCGCGATCTTCTGCACTGTGGCTGCAGCGTAGGATATTCAAAGTTTCGTTTGTCGCCTACCTAGATGGACGGAATTGCTCAAAAAGATATCTTTACACGCTTAGCTACTTGCACGCACCGATTCTCAGGGCCTTTCTTCTATGAAAAATGGATTCGCAGCGGGTAGGCCAAATATATAGGGATATAACTTGATACGACTACGAACATGCATGACTTGCCTTGGTGCAACATGTTCAGCACAAATTTATCAGATCTGATGGTTATCGGGCTGCTTGAGCTTTGCCGGTTCCATGTCATTAAAACAGAGGCACGAAGCCTCGAGGATTTAATTGGTAGAGACTCTAGTAGAAGCAGTGGCGGGAAAACAATAGGTGTTATTGGAACGAGGTTTGTCGATAGCGACCGGCCTACTCAAGATTGATAGGATTCCAGCCGCAGTCGAGTTTACTCCAAAGGACTGAAGACTAGATTGGCAGGGGCAGATTGGACATCCATCATATTTCGGGTGGGGGCTTACGGACAAACCATTGCAGCAACTACCGCACTCCAGTAGGGGTCAAGGTTGTCCGACTCTAGCAGCCTCAGCGTTTGGGATTCTCAGGGCTGGCTCAAGAGGCAGCAAGTTTCATGATTCGACCACGTGTCACTGTACACAGAAACTTTATAGCGGCCCGGACTCCAGGATTTCTAAAATGTGGGAGACGCATACTCTGGTCAGTCGTAGATTGCGTGGGAGTTTTGAGTTGCGCAGAATAAATTAAATTGCACGGGCTGACACACCGTGGTGACTGCAAAGTATGTGTCAGTTCTAAGGGGCTATCAACTTCGAAGAGGCTCATAAAGAAAGTGTGTCGTGTTTGCAGAAATATTTCGTGTAAGCAGTAAGAATCGAAAGGATTCCGTTGGTTTACGAGCCGTTCGATGCGACCTGAAACGATCCATTGATTTCGCACAATTTAGGGGGCGGTGGCGGACAGGATGCTGAAAGCAGGACGTCCCATCCTGTTAGGAAATTTGCCGGTAGCAGAAATCGGTAAAACGCTGTAATGACAATGACACCGCAGTCTAACATCAACAGAGTGGATCTAGATATCCACAGTAGAAGTAAACGTCGTTTCAAACCCATCTCCAACAAAGAGTCATGGGGCACCTATCGCAACCACAGAAAAGTGCTGTGCAAGCCACACATAAATCACGGAGACCAGCAAGGTGAAGGCAAGAACCAGCGTCCGAATGCCAGCCACCAGGCCCTTTCACGTGTTGTCTTTCGAGGAGACTGCCGCTACTCCTGGCTACCGCAGTGTCTGTCTATTTGTCTGTACATATGGCTTCGCTAGGGCGGGCTGTCATAAGGTGGTCTCTTGCTTCCCTGGGAATGATGTCAGGAGTGGGGCTTCTCTGGTCGCACCTTCACCATGAGTCTGAGGTCCTTCATGAACTTCAGTCTGAAAACTTTCCTGAGACTCCAGAGACTTCAACAGCGCATCGCAAGGCATGCTCCAGGTCTTAGGACAGCTGAATCAGGCGTAGGGGAGGAGCTGAAAACATCTAGAAATCTATCATTGCATCTGAAGACGGTGAAGGACGCTTGGGCACGAAGCCAAAATGCAGACCCCCTAAGCATAGCACACGATGCGCACCAGCCGGATGAGGCGGCAGAATCGTAGTAGGGACAGCTCGCGCCCTGTTACAGGTTCGGACTTCGAAAAGCTATGTGCTACACCATGCGCACTGTGCAGCGTACCATTCCGGCGAAATAAGAGAACACACATCCGGGAGGGGCAACCCTGGGCTAGGCATCCGGATGGCCTATTGGCCTACGGCATGTAGACAGCCCTACACCTGTCCGTGCCTCCGATGTCCGTCGGAGAGGTGCTTGCGAACTGAACGCTGACCTTGCAGAGGCTTGTGGTAGGTAAAATCACCTCCTCGTCATACCAACAGTCACGTAGGCATTTGGTCGAGGCAACCTTGTGCATCATTTAACGGCACGACGGACTGAAACCGCACTGCAGCTTAAGCAACATGTCTGCTCTAGCATCCTTCCTGGGCTAAAAGCACATGGAGGATGCGAAAGGAAAACTTCATGTCCGACGGGTAAAAGCAAACAAATCGGCTGGCTATCTCTGTTAGTCTTGCATAGTTTGATGCAGACATGTTATGAGGATTGCAGGCTGGGTCCCAGAGGATCTGTTTATGATTCACTCTGACAGGCGCCTTCTCCTCATCTCGAGACTGCCAGTGTTACAAGGACTCGTGCATTTCTACAAGCAGTGCGATGTATTGTTCATTCTGCAGCTATGACTGTATGACGCATGCCGTGATGAAGCAACAAAACCTGCCGCGCTGTGGCCCGGACGTCCGCAACGCTCGTGGTGCACAGAATTACATCAAACCTGAACAGTTTCCAAGCACGTCCGGTCAGGCAAGACTCAGGGGAAGTAAAAATGTTGCATCTCAAACAACACAATGCTCTGCAATGAGTCGGCCTCTCAAGTATTTGTTAGGTGATCGGTGATGGACGAATTCGATTTCGCAAGCTATGCTCCCCCACACAGAGCGAACAAGGAAGGCTACACTATATTTAAACATAGAGTACCAGAAGCTACCAGAATATGCTCCTATATGCTGCAATGTACTACAAACTTAAGGCTCGGGCCAGTTCCAGAAGCGATCCTCGCCACACCAGAAGCCTGCGCTTGCTTTGCAGGGTATAGTTGCCAGTGATCCCTTTAGTTTTAGGGTTTAGGGTTTAGGGTTTTTGAGGAGTCAAGTATGTAAAGGGTCTGGAGAAGGCTCAGGGATTCGGGTTGAGAGTGGAGATGTCAGGCTCGGTACCAACATTCTCGCACCTCTTGCAACTGGATTGGCCCACCTCTGCATGTGAGGAAGTGCTGGCGCAGTACAATTTCCTGGTCAGTAGGCTGTTGGGGTATATGTATGTTATTTATAATCATCATACGAGGACGAAAAAAGAACACCATTGCCAGGTATTCAGGTCGCTATGTGATACTCTCATTTGCACATATATATAGGAACTACAAAAGCAACATTGCCATGTACCGATCAATGACTATGTCTAGCACTTCGACGTTCTGAGAGTCCTTGTCGCTGTACATTTTTGAGCTCCACTTGATGTGCCACGAAGTCTGATGGTGGTGTTCTTGTCGATATGACAGCTTCGATGATGGTGATTTGCAGGTGGACGCCGTTGGCATCTATCATCTATGGCTGGCGTTCTTGGCATCTATTGCTGGTGTTACTGTTGTTGATGTAAGATAGCCAGAGTCACGATAGCAACCATGATGACAACATTTGATGTTGTCGTCGTTGTTATGATATGATCATCACAGGGAAGACGATGAATGCTAGCATGATAGTCGTGACGTTGAGAGCTCACACCCCTCTTGCCACTGGTCCGTTCAGCAGAGAGTCTTGTCTTGACTGTGGGTGCTATGCTGCTACCATTGCCTGGAGGCTATCGTGGGCCACCAGTGCTACTCATGCAAGCGATGTGTGCCGTCAACCTGAAGTGAAGCAGGAGTGTTCAACGTTTTGTTGGACCCAAACATCATAGTATTCGTCCTGCGTACTATGAGTCGGGTGTGGGATTCACAGGAAGCAGTGGTCACCGGCAGCCGCAATTCCAACTCGCAGGCCTGAGCGAAACTTGCTGGCCCAGGTGCCAGAAACAGAAAGAGAGCAAAGCCCAGTTCGACGTAGGCCCAGCCTGAAGAGATGTTGGCGCAGCAGTTTTGCTAAGTATTATTGCAAACAAAAACGTTGTCTACCAAGCTGATCGGAGCGTTGGCGTTTGGTCTTCATTGTTGTGTGCTTTTATCACACCTTGCCAGCACGACAACCACTAGCCAGTATCGAGTTGGTGGAACAAAAAGCCAGCCAGAGTCTCTGAGCCTTGAGCCGGAGATGCTTGCATCTCCGGACAGGGCACATCTTTTAAATTACAGACATTAAGGAGGCGAGAAATGGAAAGCTATTAAATTACAACATCCAGCAGACATGCAAAGGACAAGGACAAGGAGAGAGGAGGCAGGGGGACAGGGAGACAGAGAGTGTGAGGATACAGACGAACGAACATATGGTGACAGAGCGAGAGAAATGTCCTCATCAAAATTAGCATGTTCCCTTGTCGATGCTTGTGCACCTCCGAGCAAGAGTCAGAGTGCGTGTGTTTGATGTCCCTTTGCCAGAGGCCTTTGTAGATCTGGCCGATGCATCGGGAAACTCAGACATCAAAATAACACAACTGAGCATACTCGGGTAGTATCTTATGCTATGTTATAGTGATATAGTATACTACAGTATATGGTAGTAACCATGGTATAGTATATGATTGTACTATCTCCCAACAATTGGAGACGGGCTGTGCTCCCAGCACCACAAGGGGCAAGCACATGGCCCGTCTGATCGCTTTGAAACTGGTGTTGCCCTCTGACACCGTCGAATTTTGTCGGGCGGCCCTCCCAAATCTCATAGAAAGGGTCGGTTTGGAAGCCGATCCTCAGCATCGAAACGCACGGAGTGTTTTCAGACCCATAATATCATAAAGGCTCCGACTCAATGTTCTGCCTTCGAGCGTCATAACCCCATTGGCGACGATAAGAATTGCCACCAGCGGCTCCACGTACCTGCAGTGCCGACATGCGTTTCGCTGCAAATGAGGCAGCAAGACATCCAAGGCTCCACGACCAAAAGCTCCCTAACAGCAGTGTGGAAGCCACCCCCGGCCACAAGCACATCCCGGAATCCCAAACCCTGCTCGATAAAGGTGAGTGACATGAGTGGATGCAGCGGTTCCGGGGGTGCCGCCAGATCGTTAATGCGGACCTCAGGACTTCCGGACTTCTCGGAGCTGGCGAGGAATACTTGATTGTCGAACTGCGGCCACCACGCCGTGAAAAAACAGATGTTTGCTTCAGCGAAACTGTAAAACTCCCGAGCCGCACATTCCTAGATTCTAGATGGCTACACGCATAGGATGCTGTAGTAAAGAGGGCAGCCCATTCTAAAGCCTGCACCCAGCAGTGCCCAGCGGCGAAGGTCAGCTCGGCAACTAGGCGGTTGGTGTCACCGGCCAGCAAGATCTCGCGGATCGCCTGGCTGGAATCTTGCTGGCTTCACTTGTTGGTGAGGCAGTATCCACTTCCAGCCTGATCTGGGATAGTTACGTGGTTCGACGTCTCCATGTACCAAGCAAGCTCGATGTGAGCATGGGAGGCTAGAGGATGCCATGGGTTTGTGATACGATTATCTGAATCTGCCGCACGGGCTGCTGCAAGTTTGGGGTGGCGAAAAACTCCAAGCAGTGGAACCCTAGACGCGCACTGCGCTGGGGAGAAGATGAGGGGAGAGAAGCTACGGACGATCGGTGCCTGAAACTGCTTGACTCCAGTCTGGCCAAAGATGCGCTTGTGGATTTCGGAGTCCTTCGGGGCACAGAAATGGCAATCTGATGTCACCAGGATTGTGACCGGGTAGGTCCGGCGGTCCTCACTCGACAGCTCCCCAGATTAGCAAGTATGCCAAGCATGCCCCAACACGAGCGTGAGTTGTCCTGAGCCAAAAATAGCTCCATCCTTGGTCCGGTCAAAGGCTGCGGAACCTATGGCAAACACCTGGACCAGGCCAGCCTCAACACTTTGGCACGAAAGACACAAGTCCAAGACTGCCATCAGGTCGCAGTGCAGAGGCGGGCACGACGTTGAAGGTGCTCATGGCCTGCCATCTTGCACTTCGCTGTGCTTGAAACATCACGTGTCAAGTAGTTGTCCGGTCGTTGCCGACCACAAACCACTGTCCCGCGAGAGCTGTAGCCATTTCTGGCCACTGGAAGTGGCTGGCCGTGCTTATTTTGTAAGGTGTTGAGTTCTTAAACATACATACTTCACGGGAAGGCTTCCCCGGTGGTCTGGGGGGGCGACTTGCCTGTGGTTCGAAGGCCGTGAGGGAGGCACTCCGGTGGTAGCCCTTGTGGCATGCAGCATCGGCAATCAAAAGCGATTAGGGCAAGGCATCAACTCGAGCACTGATGGACAAGAAAAGCAAATTATACTGAGATGCCATGTAATCTTTCACTTTTGGCCACTCCCAAACCGGCTTGCCATAGCGGTCCACCTCATCCTTGGACACCACGAGATACACATCGGTGAACATGTCACGGCGTGCATGGTTGCAGATTGTGGTTGCCCTGTCGGGTTTTTTCATCAGCCAACCACTCGACTCACCCGGCAATTGCGGTGAAGGCGCCGCCGTCTCCCAGGAGAAAACGGTCTGCCTCCTGCTCCTTCGATCTCGGGCCTGAAGCAGGGGCCAAAATTTGGCTCAAAACACTTTGGAGCTTTCAAGGATGAAGGCTTTCATGGCTTCCAGGCTCCATCCTTCTTGTCTCACCGCCTTAACTGACGCCCTGACCTCGAAACCAAGGTGGATGAAATCCGCGACCAGATTTACCTTGGAGCTCGGAGTAGATAGCGATCTTTTAGGCACATGGCCATCATGATCGTTGAGGCTTTTATGCCAAAGCAGACGGTGCATGCAGCCACCACACCTCGAGGTGGCCATGTACGCGAGTTAGGCGGTGCATAGCTCTCCAAGGTCAGACTTACTGTTGGGATGCTCTTATGTTCAGTGTAGAGGAATGTAGGTGAGTGTTCCGGCGAGGAGTGCCCGGGCCAGCGCACAGGACGACTCTGTGGAAACACCGTGGCTTCCAGTGTCTGTGCCACGGTGGACATTCTGGAATCGCGTTCTTTCTTCACTGGTGGCACAACGGCGAAATTGGCAAATCTCGAGTCTTGGCGGTCCCGAACTTGATGAATCGCACTCCCGGTGCTTCCGCCACAGTCCTGCGCTCACTTTCGCCAGCAGCCTTTTCGTGACTCCTTGGTGTCTCCAAATCCGTCTGTTCGGTTGTGCTCCGGCCACACCTTTTGCCAGGCAGATCGCTGTGCTGCGAGCATCATTCTCACGGGCCGTATTATATGTGGCCGCCACTTACCTCTGTCTCAAGGCAAAGCTCGCAGCTCAAGATGCCAATCAACCTGGGCATCCCCGCTGATTCCTGCTGCCACAACATGAGCATTCGTGGAAACAGACACGCTCCCAGTCCCGCCAGGCTGCCATCTCATTGATGTCATCGATGCTGTATCTCGTCAGGCCCAGAGCATGCACAGCGTCGTGCAGATTCTTTCCAGACACCAGCTTCCTCGGCTTCGGGTCGCTAAAAGCCCGCTTATCATGGCTCCTATGGTTCCTCCATGCCACAATCAGAAAATCTAACCTAATGCAAATGACTTATAAGACGATCTATCCCAGTATCCCTGAACAAAGAAACTCCCATATCTCACAGCGGGCGGCGCCGAAGAAAGCGCGCCCAAACGGAGGCGCAGCCTGTGGCGGATCGCCCGCGCCTCGTCGTCGCTGAGTCCGATCAGACCTGCCGAGACGTGACTCCCCAAAAACCTCGACATGTTGCGAACGTTTGATTGTTTAATGCCTGTGTAGACGGCGCATGCACGTATGTGTAAGGGCGGGGGAGAAGGATACAAAGGATACACAGCCATGACAAAAAGATCAATCGAGAATGCTGGCTGCGTTGGTGTGTGGTTTTCGGCCTAAGCACCACTGTCAAGTGCTTGAATGTGAACTGTCATCAACTAGGCACCAGCTGTACAGCTGTAGAAGTATTGTTGCCGCTGGGTTCCCTCATTGCGTGGTCTAAGTCCACTGATCTCTTTTTGCTTTGCTGGCACTAGTTCGACTAAGACGGCATAGTTCTTGGGCTCCTCCTGTATGTAGCTCGTCAATGTGTTTTTTCCCGATGTCCCATGCCTATAGCTGATTATTATGCTGGTTGGCTGCTGGTGCTACCCTACAGTACGCAAGCATCTTCTCTGAAGAATGCCTTTTGCTTGGATTGACTTCAACATGCTTGTTGCTTACTGTCTCTTTTTTGCGTGCATGGGTCGCTATGCTGCTACGGCATGCCGCGGCATGTTAGAGTCACTTTAGATCACCCTCATGCAGCATCACTTCACAGGGCACCGTCGGATGAATGCCGCCAATTCTAGCAGACTTTGACAACTTGAGCAAATTCGAAGTCACCGAGCTCAAGGATACCCGTACACTTTAAACGCATTCTGATCCGTAAACCGCGCAAGCCAAGATCCCACTCAGCCGCAGTTTCTGCAGAGTGGGGGAGTTGTAGGCTTATCAATGGGATTCATGTGCTGCACGCCCTGGACGAGAAGATGCTGTCGTGCCTTGGGTTCTGTTGTGAAAGGCAATGAGGCCCCTGTGGATTCAGGGTGTCGGAGCTTTGAATTTCAGCTGTGACCCATAAGATTAGCCAGGCTAATGCTTGCAGCTGGCCAGAGCTCAGGTTGCCTCGGTAGGGACCTGCTCTCCGCAGCACCAAGCCCTCAACACATGCCGGAGATGCCAGACGTCAGGAAAGGAGCAGCAGCCCCACCCTTAGCAGCATGGCTCTGGGATCGAGATCATTTGCAGAACGCCAACGGAAGTGTCCTCTTTGAGCCTGGACACGAGGCCGTGAGACTGCATGCCCGACGACGTCTCAGACTTGCTCTTGGTGAGTTTCGCTACCTGATCAGCAAGCAAATTGGGGTTTCGGGCCTCTCAGTAAAACAGAAACGAGCAACCAACACACTGCTATGCCGCCATGCTCACGGAGGTCCAAGTCTCGGCTTCCAGTCTCGATATCTGGGGTTCCTAGTTGTGCAGTCCATGCAGCCGGGATGCCAATTCCACATCCTGACACTGGCCAGAACAGCTTGATTCAGGTGGGCGGGATGTGAATTACTATGCTTAACTGCACGAGTGGCCCCTAATCGCGTGCCGGGTAGTCACGCGACAGTCTTACTTCAGACCTGCTTAACCTTGAAACCTGATTGCAGAAATACCCCGGCTTGCAGGAACCTCATCCCAAACCGCAGCCCCGAAGCCTTCGAGCCCATGAGCCCATGCCCTCACCTGCAGCGGCATTCCGTCGATGCTTGGGCTGCGAGCCTGTCGAGATCGGAAAAGTCAGGTGGAGGTCTGGGGTGCCAGCGTCGGGATCAACACGCCTCCACTGCTTGAATCTGGCCGCGGTCATCGCCCTCGGGTTGCGAATCGAGTCGGACAACGCGTGCATACTGCTTGGATTTCTTCGGTGTGTCAGTTGCGGCGACTTGCGCATCATCGAGCACCGGTTTAGAGTGTACTCTCAGATGATCACGCCTATCTACTATACTTTGGATCCCTCGCTGTGCATTTCCAGCAAGCGCCGTCGTCGGGGCAGGGGCAGGTATAGGTTTGGGAGTTTTGAACCGACATTCCTGTTCCGAGCTGTGTGCCATTATGGGGCAAGTGCAGCTCGAGCCGCGATTTTCGGCAAGGATGGCACAGTCGAGATCGCCTCTGGGACAGGCTCAGAACGGGCTGAACGAGTTGTGGACCTGGCGACTAGCAACTAGCATGCCTAGCTGTGGGAGGGGCTTAAGTCCCACTTCGCCTCGCCGACGCTATCGCCGTCTGCGTCTCCGTCTTCGTCTGCAAGGCCTCACATCGCACTCCGATGTTTTAATAACAAACAAAAACCGCAAGATGTTATAACTACCAGCGTAGCACTCCCATCCAGCCTCCCACGCCTTCACCGTCCTGATCGACCTTGGATGCGTTGACTGTGGTGTTATTAACTGCTCCTACCAACGACATAACTTTGTGATCTGGAGGGCTACACAGGCTTCACATCTTGCAGTCATTTACGGAACCCGCTGCGCAATGCGAACATCATGTTTGCGTTATCATGTACTGAAAAGCAAATCAGCAGCAAGGCTCAACAGCTGGCAACTTATGTGTCATTTCGGAAGTCTAGATAGCTGTTGTAGTATACATGTCTCAAAGGCTCAACGAAACTTCCACTCTTGGTGATTCACCGAGATGTGCTTATGCAACCACGAGACGTTGTGCAACTGTGGCGAGATCACAAGTTCGGATCCGTCGTACTCAGGGAAAGCCTTCGACAAAGGGCCGGGTCTGCAAATCAGCACACCCTGAGTGGGGATCTCACTTGCAGCTACCTAGTTGGGAACGGCTTTCTGAGTTTATCGAAGCAGCTATCAAAGTTTTCCCATATCAACGAAAACTGCACCATGAGCGATGATGTTTACTGGGATGAAGCCAGCACCAAATGCAATCACAACAAACCATGCACGGATTCGAAGCATGCACGGATTCTGACAGCTTGCCGGGGCTTGAGTGTTTGCTTTTCGTGCCCACCCGAGGCTACGCCAGGAAGAGTTCATTCCCAGGTCTGCTAGTGGCAGTACCATGTTCTCACAATGCCTCGAGGATCTGTGACCGAAAGCTTCTCCAGGCATCCTGCAAATTGCAGGGTGGGCCGGCTCTGGCTAGGGTAGGGGATGCCATGAATGCGGGTGCAGCATGCCTGAGACCTCGAGAAATGATGCATGCCAGTTCCCTAAATATGAGTTCACTTCAAGAAGATGGGGTCAACATGTGTGTTAGGGGAACGAGATCTGAGCGTTGCTGCGCCTGATGTCGCATTCTTTGTGAATAGAGCCTTGTACACTGTGAAGGCGAGGAACACCAAGGCAAGCCAAGGCAAGCCAATGGGTACTTGCAGCGAAAACGCTCTGGACACCATGCAAATGAGCAATAGGCTTGATCTCGCCTGCTCGATGTCGGAATTCGGCTGTGACGGGGCTGTTGCTTGCAGTCGCAAGACAAACTGCGACCGTGGGCTGCAGTTCTTACCGCCTCCTACCCTCTAGCAGTCGCTGTCACGGCGATCTTATGTCTGCTGCGCAGCCGCGAGACATGCAGCCAATTCTGCTTGTTTTGACACGTCTTTTTAAAATCGTCGGGTTGGGCTGATCTTAGAGCCTCGCCAAACAGTTACATTCCAAACACGAAGACTTCGAGAAGCAGCAACACCGGCAGTAACAGTGGTGGTTGTGGAAGGAATTCTGGAATAACCGATGATACCGCTCAGCACTTCCACGTCCTCCAAGACAGTCTCCAGTCGCTCTCGCTCCCCGCTCATGGCACGCCGCGGCCTGGAACGAGGAGCAGGCCGGTGCAGGATCTAGGGTTGGCCGGCATGAGCTATAGGAACCAATACTCGTAGGTGGCGTGGCGATCGCACTTGATCGCGCGACCTTCTGCGGAATGTGCGGCTGATTACACTCTCGGTTACCGACAGCCGAAAGACTTCAAAGCCTCATAGACAGAAAGCGTCACGAAGCCCTAAAGCAACAACAGCCATTCCTTCCGTCGAATGCCGGCTGTACTAGTGTTGAATAATTTCTCCAGTCGTAGACTTCCGGCTGCAGAATAGGATATCCCAAGGTTGGCCAACGTACCGCAATTCAGGATTGAGGATGTCGGTAGGGCTGAACCTTCCGTTGCCTTCCGCTCAACTTTTTGAGGTTGTGCTTCTGGCACAACGGGTGAGCAGTCTTCGCAGGATCAAGCTTCGTGTGAAAGTGTAGTACACACCAACAATCCCAAGCTTCTGAACTTTGGGACGTGGAGCACTTGTCCTCTTTTTGATCCTCTGTAAACACTTCAGTCGGACTTCCTGCAAGCTTTGAGTCTGCAACTGCAACTTCAAGTTTAGGCGATTAACGTACGGCATGTACGTCTTCGGGGAGTGCTGCAAAACGGCTATTATTCTATAGCTGCCAGCACGAAGCACAAAGCCTGGGACGGAGTTTGCCGTATCAATGATAATCACCATCCGCAGCACATCACCGTCATCATCATGATGATCATCACATCCGTAGTCAGCAACATTGTGATGCCATCACCATCACTAGCTTCATTGCATTCTTGTCAACTCTTCAACCATAGACAACAGAATAGCCACCACCATCTCCACCATCTCCACCATCACCACCATCATCATCCTCATCACCATCATCATCATCAGCATCATCACCATCATCATCATCATCACCGTCATCATCATGATCACCATCATCATCACCATATCACCGCATCAACATCCCCATCATGATCATCATCTTGATCATTGACCACAGCGTTCGTCATCAGCGTAGAAAGGCCACTATGATTTGGCTCGAACTACTTTTCGATCCCTGAACACTTCGACCTTGCAGCAGAGCGCAACAACCCAGATGTGCTGTAACTTGTGCTGTCGAGTTTGATTGAGCGTGCCGTCGAGTTCCGTCCAGCACTCAGCATCGATGAAAGACTTTACAGAAAGATGTTACCTAAGTAAAGGCGCTGTGCATGCAGGGCATCATCCACACTCAAGGGCCAGGAGCTGAACTTTGGTGGCCTCAGTAAGAACAAGGCCTTTATGCAGGCCTCCTGGGGTTTCCTGGAAGTCCCACGGTGCGACAGCGCCGGTGTTTGCCAGCGTCGGCGCACCGATCCGAAGCAGTTTAGACGAACTTGCACAAGAGTCTTACGGCTTTCTTGAGCTCATAGTAATACTACCTGGCAAAGAGTTGAGACATGCGGCCGTGGTTGGTGTAGTTTGCACTCAAAGGCTCGAGGTCCTGTGCGACATTGAACGCAGCATCTTAGCTTGTTTGTACGGACTGCAACACACACGTTGCGGTACTGTGTCTTCTCGGCACGTTTCGTAACCCCCCCACAAGGCATGCATGATTCAAACTGTCCAGTCAGGTGTGTATACAAGGGGAGAGATATGGAGATGCACCCCGAGAGGGATTCCTAAGCGGTGTGGCTGCTACTCCTGAGGGTTCTGCAGGGTGCGGCCTTCTCATGTCAGCTACTGCGCTGCTACAGCTTGAGCGGCACACACCGGAAGATCGACTGTACTGCAACGTCCATAAGAGCCCCGCGATCCTAGCTGTTCAGCCTCAAGAACTGAAGCCAGTGAGCAATCTCCTCACCCAGGCAGACTATGCCCTCGAGTCAACCACGAGCTATTTACCGAGCATCTATCTTTCAGAAACCCATGACCTCGAAAGACAGCGCTCCTTTTTGGCCGTGAGGCGTTCTCCGAGCTTTGGTACTCTCGATAGGCCCAATTTCGCGCACGATCCGTTGTGATACCAAGTACAATGGCATGCAATAGTGGAACGAACGCCAGAGAACTTCCGATCCCTTTCCGCCTCGTCTCGTCATCATCATCGTTATCATCATCCTAGCTAGACAATGATCCCAAACTCGGATGGCTCTGCAGCACAAACCCAATTGGCGAAGCGGTGCTGAAGCACCTCCTTTTTACATGTCTGACAGAATGGTCTTCAACGGTCTGCTTGTGTTGTGCGGCTGCCAGGACCACTGTCGGACCCTTGCGAACTTTCGATCTGCGTAACCCTGGTCAACAGCCAACAAACCAGCATACTCTGAATTTCTCCTGTTGCTGGGACTAGCGCGAAATTTGAGAAGCTGCAGGTTGCACTTTGCAATTGTCTGACGAGACGACATCTGAAACACTGGCTGCACACCCCTGCATGCATAACCTATTGATGTGTTGGCACAAGCATCATGCCGGTCAGGGGTCAAAGCTTGGGGCTGTATCATGTCCACAAACCCCAGAAACGACTCCCTTCGCCAAGATCCGTTTTTGAAGCCTTGGACATGCCAGGGGTGCAGTGCCAAAGATCGATGAAATTCGATGGGAGGGCAGCGCAACAACGGACCCACATCTCATCGATTCGAGGATAGGGTAAAAGCACAAGACTAGCATCAACAATCCAGTGCCACGGCATTGTCATGATGATGCTCGAATGACAAGAGCAGCAGTAGCACCCCCGGCGTTGATAATATCAACAACTGAACACGAAGCCAACAAGCCGCTGCTGACTGCCACTTCCATCTTGAGCTCCTCTCGGCTCTGTAGCAGATTGTCAGCCACAGACATCCGCAAAGCGGAGTTTAAGCTTTCATGGTCATCACGAGAGCATACCATTGTGTCCATCAACATCTTCACCATGCGATGTAAATCTATCTACTGCCCTGCTTTCCACAATGCATAACATCGTCATCACACCGATTACTACATAGTGCATACTCTGCGTAGTCTACTGTGATTCTGACTCTGATGCGGCCAGCATGCGGTTACCCGCCTGCAGACACAGAGATCGCACGGACTCATCGCATGCTTCACATCTTATCACTGTCAGGGTCATTCTTCATATCCCTTCGAGGCTCCTGCTCATGGGCTTGTAGGTTTGTCATGCCGGCTGTGGTGATGTGGCTGCTGATGCTGCTGCTGATGATGATGATGACTGAGGTGGAGGTGACGGTGCCGATGATGGTGATGGATGATGAGGATGGCAAAGATGGTGAAGCGGATTACTACTGTAAAAATGCTTTCCTGTGATGATTGTTGCGGTTGTCGGCACTGTCAGGCCCGAAAGCATGCGGAATGTCTGGCCATGTCCGGCCAAGGCCACTGCTGGCGGAGAGGAGGGCCGCTGCGGGTTTGTCGGAAGTCGGAACATCAGCCGAAACGTTTGGTCCGCAATCCGTGGAGCTACAGAGGCATGTTAGAACATGTCTGCAGCTAGCGGTGTCTCTGTGTGTTCTGTTTCGCATGTTGCAGCTTGGAGTTTAGATGCGCGGACTCAAACGAGGCAGATTCAACGTTGTGGCAGGGAGCTGGTGCCTCTGGCCGGCAGCATCCACACAAAGATCTCCTATAAAGTCGGGGCACAGAGATGCCGAACAGTCTTGTCTTCCGGGCTAGGGTTCTCGGCGCGGGGCTGGGAAGTCCTGCTTGGGAGTTCAAAGTATCTGCCTGTCATTCCATGGGCTGGGGCATCATGTTGGGACATGTGGATGTGAAGGCTGTCTCTGTTGACCGCCTTGTGGCAGCACGCCAGTTAAAGACGTTCTTGCACTCACCAGCAGCTCTTTAAATGAACATGCACTGGTGAATTTCGTATAGGACTGGCCAACTAGGCAAGATGCCTGAACGCCCTTCATGCAGAGACGCTCAGAATTGTGGAGATGCGCGTCTGCAGTCGCGGAGACTGCCCTGTTGGGGAGCCTGACTGTCGCTTGTGGAATAGCATGGAGTTAAACGACTGCGAGGTGTGTTGCCGCGGAAGTATAGAGTACAAGGGCCAAGGGCAGCAGCGACGAGGTTGAACAAGCGAGCTTACGAGCATACTATTAACTTCGCCAAGGCCACGTCCCCTCCTTGTGGCCTCGGAGGGCCTAACCCTAAAGGACCGCGCCTCGCTTCTGCGCAATGCATTTACGACACGATCTTCGTGGACGCCACAGATATCCTGGCGCAACGCAAGTGTCCCCGTCAATTAGGGCCAGGAAATCGCCTTTTATTTGTCAGGAGATCTTGAGGCAGAAGATCTGTGATGAGCAGGGAGTTGACTCCTACAGATCCACGGAGCTTCAGAAGCAGCCATCCCCAACACTCTGCACGAACCGATCCCCCATGAAAGTACCGTGCCCTCATCACCAAGCCCGAAGGACGACCTGCATGGAAGGGCTACATTCAAACATCCGTAACACGAAGAGTCCTTCCAGGCTGAAGAAGCTTCAACACCGTGTTCTGAAAATCTTTTTCGTCTGTCCGCAACTCCTTGGCGGCAGCAGCAGTAGAGTTAAGGATCATGTCTGGAGTTCAACGTTCCTTGATATCCGTGGAAGACAAGGGTATGCACGAATGTCGGAATTGTCGCACCCACGAAGGTAGCAGCAAAGACCTGTAGTTCATCTGCCTAGCCAGTAGCACACATTACATCGCATCACGGCCCTAGTTGAGAAGGGCAGCATTGCAACAGTGCTCGGCAAGCTCTGTGGTGCAAAATCCGTCGCCACTGACTGCTTGTTCGTGTAAGGCTACCATTGCAAACAAAGCAAGTCTCTTCATCAACAGTGACACCAAGCTTCCACCAATTGATTCTGGATCGCTTTCGTCGCGAGCAGCGTAGCGACAGCATCGCTCTTCTTGACTTCCCCGCGGATCTTTAGCAGTCCCTGAAAGTCAGACAAAAACTGAACACAAGACACTTAGTAGCAGCTGGGCCTGCAGGCTTTTTAAAAACCGTCCAGCACAGCAGTCCGCCGCTTTTGCAGGTTCCACTGCCCGAGTATCTACTTTTAGACTTGATCGAGAGGTCAACAACGCTGGTGCTAAGGATCTGCTGGCATTGGCGAATCCAGGAGGTACTATAGGGGGAACTTTCTAGTGGCGGTATGCGAGTACGAGACGATCATAGCAAGTGGATGCAGTGAGTGACAGCAGCTGTTGCAGTGGGAGCATCCTTCGTGGTCGTCGTCATCGTCGCAGCACGAGCAGTGGTGGCGGAGGAGGAGAACGAAAAGAAAGATGAGCTGGAGCCACAGAGGTCATGAGTCGCAGCAGAAGAAGTAGAGTATAAGTGTTGTGACAAGCAGTGACCAACACAGCACAGTCCGTGCCTGAACCAATTCGGTGACGTGAAGTGTACCACTCCCGTCAGCATCGATAATCTGCCACAAGGGGCTGACGAGGGGCTGATATGACTATGACTACGAGATACGAGGGCCGAAGTCCATATCAGCTGTGGATCCATGCAGCAATGCACGGGCTTTCGCAGCAAATGCGACCACAGAGAGAAGCTGCTCGGCTCAGTCCAAAGATGTGCAACGTATTTCTTCTTCTCTCCTGCAAGATTCGGCGACCTCTAATCCCCATGCTTCGACATCGCGCGGACCTTCCCCAAAACTCCCCGCTAAAGGTACAGTCTGGTTCGATGCCTTCCGCGATGCTTGAACAAACACATGTAGCAGGAACACATCAGAAAAGCTCAGCATAACCCGGCTGAACTCTAATCGAACCTCGAACAGGTTGGCACGGTCATGGGGCAGCTCTAGCTCATCCATAAGGAACTGGACGGACTGGTCCTGCGCCAAAAGTCGGGATTCACCGAAAGATCTACGAAGGCCGACAAGCCCAACCCTGAACAAAAACTCCAAGATATGAATGAGAGAGACGTGCTGTACACGACAAGTGCTTAGTGAAGTGCGTGCGTTGGGGGGGGGGTCGGCTTAGACTGCTGGGTGGGCGTTTCATCTAGAGTTTCCTGCGCATCTGGCTTGGATGTGGATGGGTGCCGAGCAAGCTTGGCATCAACATGTGCTATTCAGTCTGGAGAAGCCCACCCCTTCGAACCCCCAGTTGCTCCAGATCTCTAGGACCAGCAGCGCCATTACCGATTCTAGTCATGACTAGCCAGCTAGCCTGTTGCGGCTCTCACAGATCTCATTGCAGGTCTCGGCTGAGCTAAGGTCGCAAGAGACTGCAGCCCTCTTTGCTCGGCCAGCCTGGATGACGAGAAGGAAGAGCTCCTTCGTGATCGCCTGGCCATGCGGATGCCATACAATCCCTGATCTCAAGCAGAGGCCACCTTCTCAGAAGCTCTCATCCAACCAGGGCACGATGTGGCCGTGGATGTCCTCGTCGGTGAAGTTGGACTCCATCGGGCTGAAGTCCAGGTGCTTCTTATTCGAGGTCTGGAAGCGGGCTCGCGACTCTCCGACGAAGGCCGAAGGAAAAGAACGACCCCTTCACCAACACACGCCAAAAGCGCAGCACAGCCTCTAAGCAGCGTGTTGGTCCAAGATGGGATTCTGAAGCTGGGGTTGGTTTGGAGACCCCTGCAAGCTGCCAATCTAGTGTCCAAGCCTGGCTAATATTTATTGTAGCCACACTTCTTCTGTCGCCTCATTCTCGTCCAGATCCTGGAACTGCCTGTAGGCCGCCGCGAACTTCTTCAAGAGCTCACCTGGGTGCATCAACAGTAAGTGCCAATGCAAGCGTAAAGGATCCAGAGTATGATGCGTCAACGTCATGCTTGTTCTGTTCAGCCTTTGTCATGCCATCGCACATTCGTGACTCAATCCGGTACATGCTGGGGAGTCTGAAGCTCAAGACAGCCAGCAGTATGGAATGCACAATGAGAACTTGACATTGACTCTTTTCCGCGCAGAGCAATCAAACAAAAATCCCTTCCGGAAACACTCCGGGAAGCCTTGCTCCAAGCGGCGCGTGGTGCGGGCAATCCGGATGGACTCGCGAGAATGCTGTTCGGCAGTGACGGCCTCCGACTCCTCCGGACGAGAGCACTCTTGTTGGCTGCAGAGCGACCTTGCATGATGTTCTTTGCCGGTTCTCACTTGGCCGAGTGAACCCTTGGCAGCTTGACCTTGAAGCAGCAAGTGCCGAATGTCGAGGGGCATCCGATTTCAGCGTCAAGTCCAGGTTGTTTGTGGCTCAGCTCAACGAGCTCTGGTTCTGCCGAGCAGTCCTTCGCAGCTCTCATGGTGATGTCCACATAAACCTTTTGCCGGAGGGGCACTGACGACACGGCTGCATACAAATGCAATTGGGGTCACACCGAAGCAGCCTGCGATTGACGGGGAAGACTGAAGGACCGGATTCGGTGGTTCGTACCTGCCGAAATACCATACCTCCTCTTGCGATCCTGAATCAAGGCTTCACCTGGACCGTGCCACCAATACCTGACTATTGCATGTCAAGCGGCTGCCAAGATCACGTTGTAGATTCCTCGATCATTGAATCATGTGCTCAGGGAGACCGGGGCACACCAGGTTGTGGCTGCTTCGAGCTGTTCATCGGCTGCCGCTCGCCCGTTTGATCATCAAAGCCCACGGACTCCTATTGGTTTTTGTCTGTGTCTCCATGAAGACTAACTGCAATCTAGAATCTGGGCAACCTGAGATTTGGAGGCTTGGGTCGAATTTGCTGCGCTGTCACTAGGAGCAAAGGCTGCCGAGCACATTGCCCAGCACACATTACAATTTCAAGTCTATTGTCCAATCATGTCTTCGCCACGCGGCCTGATGCTACGTCCCTACACTTCTCATGTCACCGGTGCTTCTAGCAAACCTTGACTGCATGTGGGCTTGCTCGGAGACGGACTGTGCATCTTGCAATTTCGGAAGACAGGCCTGCAGTGTCCTGCAAACCCCGAAGAAAGCTCCATGAGCCCCGCTCAAGAAATCTTAACAATGCCGCGCTGCCCAACGACACCAGCATGTAGCCTCAGTTACGACACGGAAACGTCGGAACTTCGAGGGCTGATTGCAACAAGGTGCGACCTCGACGAAGCTCGTCCTTCATTTCCGTTGCCAGATACCACATAAAACCGGGCTCCAGAAAAAACGTTTGTGGAGGTCGGTGCTTGAGTTTTGACACTGTGACCGCACTGTGGGCGACGGCTACGTCCCATCACACCGCCGATCGGCGAGCAGTCGCCGCAGAGACAGTGTCACGAAAAGCCTGAACTAAAGTACTGTGCAGCAAGCGATCAGCCAAGCAGCACACCACATAGCCCAGGACGAAAGGCAAACCGTGGGAATCCTCCAGGACGGCTGCAATTGGCAGACCTCGGACAAGCTCACGTGAGACGAGCGACGTGGGCTGCTTGGAATGTGTCAGGCTGCTGTGAAAAGAGGACACCAGCCCAGGGCGCTACATGAACGCTGGACACTTCGGTGCTTCCTCGAAGCGAATGTGCTCGGTTCAGCGTTTTGGCGCTACCGCGAACCCAAGGAAGCCAGGTCCCGAAAGGTCAGGGCTGGTGTAGGTTGGAGAAGTTTGACAGTGCGAGCAGGCAGCCTGACGCTGCGAAGCACTCCCCGGAGAAGCATCTGAAAGCGGTGAACATAGACCTCAGTTCCAGCAAGAACAAGCTCACTCAACTGAAGCCCCTCGAAGAATCACTGTTCGGACATTGTTGAGCCTCCTTTAAGCGTCCGATTTCAGTTTTCTTCGCCACCATGGAGGAAATCTCTCGTCACCATAACCGTGACTATTCCTTGGGCCCTGTTTAAAACATGCCGATGATGTGGCAAGCGACTGCTGCGAGATTTTCGTCAAAGCAACCCGTGGCCGTTCCGGAGACTTGATATCAATGCTACACTCAAGGTGCGGGCTACTCTCTGTCTCTTCATACATAAGCCGGTGCAACACTTCCTCTTGTCCCCAGAGTTCAGAGGGAGTGACCGACAGCATTTATGGTCAAAGACAACTATGTAAGATATCTACGGACTGACACGAGCTCAGGGTACAGCGTGATCAGAGCTTCTAGCAGGCTTGAGAACCATACCTAAAACCCTGACAGGACGCGCAAATCAGGACAGTTGTGGGGCTTCACTCCAAACGCTCACGCACTTTGGGGTCTCTCCATCGTGACACGTCAGCTTGGATGGCCCAGCCACGCAGGGATGTTCTGGAAGTGAGTGGTGAGACCAAGTTCTGCAACCAGCGAATCCTGCACATTTCACCATTTCGAAGGACAATAGGTTTTGAGGGCTGTAGTGAGTGCTGCATCTGTCACATATTTCGGATCCCTACAGCCTGAAGACCAATTGCCTCCACCCTTTCCAGTGACAGTACCGCTGCTAGTCGTGTCGCGAGTAATTACTCTGTCCACTCTGATTACAAGGGGCCATGGATGCTGCCCTTACAAGCACGGACTTCCCGTATCTGATGCTCAGGGTTACCCTGGAGCTAGGTTGGTGCATCTTATGCCCGATGTAGGCCCAGAGTCAGGCTGTAAATTCCTTACTCCACAGCAAGATGGAACTAAAAACAAGAGCCTGACTCCTCCGACCCCTTGCGGTCCCGACCAATGGTCATTGTGGCGAAGCCTGCTATGACCTCGGGGCTGCAGAAGTTTTTTCTAAGGCTCAGGAAGGTTGCTGCTTTCTGTTGGAACTGCTTGAGCAGCTGCAGTTGGCTGCAATGTCGGATTCGATCATGCGGGCTGCTGCGATCCCAGTTATTATGCTGTGACGTCTATTGACTTGACTGACTGCTGCTACTTGCGCTGCAGCTAATGCTGTTGTCGCCAGTCAGTACTGCAAATCGTCCAGGATGTAGTTCGGAGTTATCTAGGTAATCGAGGGTGAAGGGAAGGCCAAACGACCCCAGTAAAACACGGCGGTCTAGAGTCTAGTGTCGACGAAATCGACAGTGGCAGAT